AAGAGGCAAAAGATCCAACTAACCAACATATATTGAAGAAGAAGAATAAAACTGAAAAACTGACACTACTTGACTTCAAGACTTACCATAAAGTTACAGCAATTAAGATAGTGTGGTATTGGCAAAAGAAAAGACAAATAGACCAATGAAACAGAATACAGAGCCCAGAAACAGACTCACAAAAATATAGACAACTGGTCTTTGACAAAAGAGCAATGACTCAATATAATGGAGAAGAGTTTCTTTTTTATTCTTTTCTTGAGACACAGTCTCACTCTGTTGCCCAGGTTGGAGTGCAGTGGTGCAATCATGGCTCACTGCCACTTCAATCTCCCAGGCCCAAACAATCTTCCCACCTCAGCCTCCCAAATAGCTAGGACCATAGGCATGTGCCACCATACCCAGTTAATTTTTTATATTTTTAGTAGAAACAGGGTCTTGCCATTTTGCCTAGGCTGGTCTTGAACCCCTCGGCTCAAGCAATCTTCTTGCCTTGGCCCCACAAAGTGCTGTAATTACAGGCATGAGCCGCCACACCTAGCAAGAAAAGAATTTTTTAACAAATTGTGCTGAAACAACAGAATATCTACATGTTAAAAAAAAAAAAAGATGAACTTATATCCTTCACAGAAATAAACTCAAATGAATCACAGATCTAAATGTAAAATGCAAAACTATAAAATTCCTAGAAGAGAACAGAAGAAAAAATCTAAATGGACTTGGATTTGAAGATGACTATTTAGATAAAATATTAAAGGCACAATCCATGAAAGAAAGAATTGATAAACTGGACTTCATTAAAATAAAAATGTTCTGCTCTGTAAAAGATACTGCCAACAGAATAAAAAGAAAAGCCACAGGCTGGGAAACAATATTTGCAAAAGACATCTCCAGTACAGGTCTGTTGCCCAACATACACGAAGAACTCTCAAAAACCAAAAATAAGAAAACAAACAACTTGATTATAAATGGTCAAGGACCTTAACAGACACCTCAACAAAGAAGATATACAGATGGCAAATATACAAAAGCATACAAAAGGATGCTCCACATCATATGTCATCAGGAATATGCAAATTAAAACAGCAATGAGATACTACTATACACCTATTAGAATAGCCAAAATTCACAATACTGACACCACCATATGATGGCAATGATATTTAGCAACAGGAATTCTTTGCTGGCGTGAAGAAAAAATGGTATGGTCACTTTGGAAGACAGTTTGGCAGTTTATTATAAAAATAAACATATTTTTATTTTACCATATTTATTTATTTACCCAAAGGAGCTGAAAACTTATGTGCACACATAAGTTTTCCATGGATGTTTACAGCAACTTTATTCATAACTGCCAAAACTTAGAAGCAACCAACGTGACCTTCAGTAGGTTAATGGACAAACAGCTTGATAGCTCATTTATTTTACGTGCTGAATATTATTCAGTTGTCTGTGGTATGGTTCATGCCTGTAATCCCAGGACTCTGGAAGGCAAAGGCAAGTGATCACATGAGGCCAGGAGTTCGAGACCAGACTGGCCAACATGGTGAAACCCCGTCTCTATTAAAAGATGCAAAAAATTAGCATAGTGGCGGGCGCTGGTAATCCCAGCTACTCGGGAGGCTGAGGCAGGAGAATAGCTTGAACCTGGGAGGTGGAGGTTGCAGTGAGCCAAAATTGCACAACCGCACTCCAGCCTGGGCAACAAAGTGAGAGAGACTCCATCTCAAAAATATATAAAATTGGCCGTGGTACATCCAGACAAATGAATAATATTCAGCACATAAAATAAATGAACTATGAAGCCATGAAAAGATATGAAGGAAAGGTAAATGCACACTACTAAATAAAAGCAGTCAGTCTGAAAAGGCTACATCCTGAATGATTTTAACATATGACATTCTGGAAAAGGGAAAACTATAGAGATATTAAAAAGGTCAGTGATTTCTAGGAGTTAGTGGGGGAGGGAGGGATGAACAGATGGAGCACAGAGCATTTTTTGGAGGGGCAGTGAAACTACTCTGTATGATACTATAATGGCAGATGCACCTCACTGTACATTTGTCTAAACCCAAGGAATGTACACCACCAATATTGAACCCTAATGTAAACTATCAACTTTGGGTGATAATGTGTCAACATAGGTTCATCAACTGTAACAAATGTACCCCTTCTGGTGGGGGATGATGATAGTAGGAGAGGTTATGCCTGTGAGGAGAAAGGAGTATATGGAAAATCTTCATACCTTATGTTCAATTTTGCTGTGAACCTAAAACTGCTTTGAAAAATAAGGTCTTTTTATACATGCATGTGTGTGTTCACTGTAGCACTATTCACAACAGCAAAGACATGGAATCAACCTAAATGCTCATCAGTGGTAGACTGGATAAAGAAAATGTTGTATATATACACCATGGAATACTATGTGGCCATAAAAAGGAAATAAGATCATGTCTTTTGAGGGAACATGGATGGAGCTGGAGTCCATTATCCCTAGTAACTAACAAAGGGACAGAAACCAAATACCGCATGTTCTCACTTATAAGTGGGAGCTAAATCATGGAACCACATGGACACATAGAGGGGAGGGTGAAGGGTGGAGGGTGGGAGGAGAGAGAGGATCAGGAAAAATAACTAATGGGTACTAGGCTTAATACCTGGGTGACAAAATAATCTGTACAACAAACCTCCATGACACCAGTTTACTTATATAACAAACCTGCACATGTACCCCTGAACTTAAAAGTTAAAAAAATAAATTTTGAAGTGAAAGGGAGATCTAGATAGATATAGATATAGTCTTTTTCAAAAAAAAATCACTGGATTTGATTACAAAAACATTAAAAATTATATGAGAAAAACTGCAAAATTAAGACAATATATTGGAAAAATATTCATAAAAATGGCAAAAAAAGAATCTCTAACATATAAGACCTTATAAGTCAAGAGAAATAGATATAAATCCCCTAGAAATGTGGGGAAAGGATATTGCTTCAGACTGCTACTTGAACCCCAAAATCCATTCTTCCTTCCATCCATAGTAGTAGATTTTCAGCTGGGCACATGGCCACCGAGCTAAAGTTACAGCTTCTCTTGCAGTTAGGTGTGGCCATGTAACTTAAATTCTTGCCAAAGAATGTGAGCTGAAGTAATGTGTGCAAATTATTTTTCACTTGCTTAATAGCGAATTACTGTACTTGCCTTCAATTTTTTCTCTTTCTTTTTTTCTCTTCCTTAACCAGGAGATGAAATACGAATTGGAGATAATTCAGTTTTGTTAATTCAGGTAAAGATAACACCAGGGGATGATGGAACAACATGATTTAAAGAACCCGAGTCTCTAAATGATTATCAGAGCCACTCACCAGCTAGAACTACTTACTTACGTGAGAAAGAAAGCAGCTCTTATTGAAAATATTACATTTTTGCTCTCTTGTGCTAGCAACTTAGCCTAGATACTAACAAACAGAATAAAAGAGGAAATTTTCACAATAAGTAGATATTAATGGCTTACAACTGTAAGAGGAAATCAATACTCTCATGCAGAAAATGTAAAACAGCATCTTTGGTCAAAATAACAGCACTAGAGTGCAAAGATAAGAATGACAGGGTGGGGGCAGTGGCTCATGCCTGTAATCCCAGCACTTTGGGAAGCCAAGGCGGGCAGATCACAAGGTCAAGAGACTGAGACCATCCTGGTAAACATGATGAAACCCTGTCTCTAGTAAAAATACAAAAATTATCAGGGCATGGTGGCACATGCCTGTAGTCCCAGCTACTCGGGAGGCTGAGGCGGAAGAATCATTTGAACCTGGGAGGCGGAGGTTGCAGTAAGCTGAGATTTCACCACTGTGCTCCAGCCTGGTGACAGAGCAAGACTCCGTCTCAAAACAAACAAAAAAAATGCATGATAATCGCAGGGTTGCGTATAAAACAAAAAACTGAAATCAAGGTGGGATATGGTAAACAAATTATGGTACCTCCATATAGTGGAATGCTGTGACGCATTAAAAATGATAAACAAATAAATCATCTTTCATCATAATAAAAGACCACTTAAAAATGATCTTGTGTTCTGAGAAGGCATGTGATCAAAAATGACACATTATAGTTTAGTAAAGAAAACATAAAATTTATGATCTCTGAACTCTTTATCACAAGAGAATGATTTTGTAGCACATTAGATTAATACAATTTTATTGTTACCTTACAGACTAGAGCTTTGTTAACACTGGATCAGATTTTGATAAAGAGTAAACTCCTCTTGCCATGACTTGTATTACCAGCAGAAATTTGACTGCTTTGAGTTGTCAACCTACCACACAGTGCCCTGGCCAGTTAGTTGGATCTTCCAAAACTTTTATCCTGAAATAACTTTTTTTTTTTTCCTCCTGAAATAACTTTTAACAGAAGAGGAAACTTTGAGTATTTACTTCCTGAAGATCCTGGAGAAGGCAAAAAGCCTCCAAGGTGTTAGAAGTCTTGTGTTTTGTCTTAAAAGTTCATGTACATTTGGCATTCTAATCGATAGTGTGACTTTTTATTTTACTATAACCTGATTATGTTTTAAGTTACTCTCCAATTTAATTAACATATTCCTCAAATATTTTTTGCAAAATCAGCATTGCAGAAAACATGCTACATTTATCCTGTGGTTTTTTCTAGCTGCCAAGTATGTATACAATAAAAAGAACATAGGCTTTGGATTAAATCCTAGTTCTGCCAACTACCTGTCCTATCAACCTGGGCAGGTTACTTGACCTAATTAAAATTTCATTTACTCTTCTGTATAACAGAGGTAACAATGTCTAGGTGTGGAGTCTTTATGTAAGTGAACAGAGCAACGCTCAGCACAGTATGTTCATTTGCTGAATATGTATGCTTTACAATATAATGAAGATTTACATTTCATCTTGTTTTCAGTTATGACTTCATAATGCATTTTAACTGTCAATTACTATTCTACCAGCTTCTGCTCTATTTAAAAATTTAATTAATACCTGTAATTGTGCTTTTCTTAGCTGTTGGCTGGTGATTTGAGCTTTTTGTTGCATCATATTTTCAATTCGTTGGTTGACTTGCTTTTCTTTCTTGAGCTCATTTCCATAAAATTTGGACCCCTATGGAGGAAAACAAAACAAAGCATAAGAAAAATGTCTGAAGGAAAGCATCACTGTAGTATAACCTGGCGGCTAAGAGCACAAACTCGGGGAACCAGAAGATTAAATGTAAAACTTAGCTCTGCTACTTATGAGCTAGGTGACCCTAAAATTATTTAATCTTTCTACATCTCAGTTTCTTCATTTGTAAGATGAATTCATTAGCAGTTAACTAAATCATAGGATTGTTGTGAGGCAGTACTTAGCATAGTACAAGCTCTCTGAGATGAACACACATATGCATTCAGAAAAGAACAGTATGTCCTAGGTAGGATCCACGGGGCATATCAAAGACCTTAGTGGGTTGGATCATCAGTTATCTGTTGCAATAAAAATTACTCCTTAGAGGCCAGGCACAGTGGCTCACACCTGGAATACCAGCTCTTTGGGAGGCCGAGGTGGGTGGATCACAAGGTCAAGAGATCAAGACCATCCAGGGTAACACGGTAAAACCCGTCTCTACTAAAAACACAAAAAATTAGCTGGTATGGTGGCACGAGCCTGTAGTCCTAGCTACTTGGGAGGCTGAAGCAGGAGAATCACTTGAACCTGGGAGGCAGAGGTTGCAGTGAGCCGAGATCACATCACTGTACTTCATCCTGGTGACAGAGTAAGACTCCATCTCAAAAAAAGAAAAAAAAAATTACTCCTTAGAAAGTATTTTCAAATATTTAATGTTAAGTCAATGTAGAAAATAATTCAAAAAACTGCTCATCATTCCATCACTGAACATAGTGTCTATTCATGTATTTGGCTGATAGACATTTAGCTTATTTTTACTTTTTGGCTACAATGAGAAATGTTATCATAAACATTTGTACACAAGTTTTTGTGTGGACATATGTTGTCATTTCTCTCAGGTATGTACCCAGGAGTGGGGTTTCTGTGTCATATGGTACCTCTATATGCAATCTTTTGAGGAAATGCCCGTCTATTTTCCAAAGTAGCTGAACCATTTTATAATCCCATCAGCAATGTAGGAGGGTTTCAATTTCTCCACATCCTTGCCAACATTTGTAACTGTCTTATTTATTATAGCCATTCTAAGCAATGGTAGCATTAATGATATCTCTTTATGGTTTTTAAATTTGTATTTCCCTGATGACTAATGATACTAACCATCTTTTTTTTTTTTTTTTCCCGGAGTTTCTCTGTTGCCCACGCTGGAGTGCAGTGTCACAAACTCGGCTCACTGCAACCTGTGCTTCCCTGGTTCAAGCAATTCTCCTGCTTCAGCCTCCCATGTAGCTAGGACTACAGGCGCATGCCACCATGCCAGCTAATTTCTGTATTTTTAGTAGAGCCAGGATAGTCTCAATCTCCTGACCTTGTGATCCGCCCACCTTGGCCTCCCAAAGTGCTGGGATTACAGGCATGAGCCACCACGCCCGGCAGATATTGACCACCTTGTCATGTGCCTAGAGCCATTTGTATATGATCTTTAGTGAAATGTCTATTCACATCTTTTGAACACTTTTTTGATTTGTTGCTTGTCTTACTGAGTTACAGACATTTTCTGTATATTCTGGATGTAAGTCTTTTATCAGATATGTTTTTTACAAATACTTTACCCAAGGTATGTTGCTCATCTTTTTCTTTTTCTTTTTTTTTTTAAAGAGATGGGGGTCTCACTATGTTGCTCAGGCTGGTCTCAAACTTCCAATCCACCCACCTTAGCTTTCTAAAGCCCTGTGATTACATGCGTGAGCCACCACACCTAACCTTTTTATTTTTATTGCTGTCTTTTGAAGTGTAAACATTTTAAATTCTGATGAGGACTAATTCAACTTTTTATTTTATTGACTGTGTTTTTGGTATCATATCTAAGAAATTTCTGCCTAACAAGTTCTCAGAGGCTTTCTCATATTTTCTTCTAAAAGTTGTATTGTTTGGGCTCTTTAAGTCTATTCTGAGTTAATTTTGTATATGGTGTGAGTGTTTTGTTTTGTTTTTAAGAGATGGGATCCCACTGTCACCCAAGCTAGTCTCAACCTCCTGGGCTCAAGTGACCCTACTACCTTGGCCTACCAAAATGCTGAGGGATTACAGGTGTGAGTCACTGCACCCGGCCCTTTTATTTATTTGTATTGCCTGACTGCACTGGTTAGAACTGTTAGGACTATGTTGAATAGAACAGATGAGAGTAGACATTCTTGCTTTGTTCCTAATTTTAAGGAGAAAGTGTTCAGCCTTCTACCATAAAGTATGATGTTTACTATATTTTTTTTGATAGATGCCCTTTACTAGATTGAGGAAGCACCTTTCTATTTCAAGTTTGTTAAGAGTTTTTAGCATGAATGGTGGTGAGATTTTTATCAAATATGCCTTTTCTGAGTCTACTGAGATGATCGTGTAGTTTTTGCCCTTTATTTTAACATGGTGTATCACATTAATAGATTTTTAGATTGTGGGTTTTTTTTTTTTTTTTTTGAGACGGAGTCTAGCTCTGTCATCCAGGCTGGAGGGCAGTGGCATGATCTTGGCTCACTGCAACCTCCACCTCCTGGGTTCAAGCAATTCTCCTGTCTCAGCTTCCTGAGTAGGTGGGAGTAGCTGGGACTAGAGACGTACACCACCATGCCCTGATAATTTTTGTATTTTTAGTAGAGACAGGATTTCACATATTGGTCAGGCTGGTCTTGAACTCCTGACCTCAGCTGAAGCACCCACCTCAGCCTCTCATAATGCTGGGATTACAGGCATGAGGTTGGCTGATTTTTAGATCTTAAACCAATCTTGCTTTCCTAAAATAAATCCCACTTGGTCATGGTGCTTAATTTTCTTGATATATTATTGGAATCAGTCCTCCAATATTATTTGAGGACTTTTGCATTCATAATGGCTTTGGTAACAGGGTGATACTTGCATCACAGGAGTTGGAAAGTGTTCCATTCTTCTCTATTTTCTAGAAGAGCTTCTGGAATATTGGTATCATTTCTTCTTTAAATATTTGATAAAATTCACCATAGAAGCCAACATGGCCTAGTCTTTTTTCTTTGATGGGGAGATTTTTAATTACTAATTTATTTCCTTACTGTAGGTCTGTTTAGATTCTCTGTATCTTCTTGAGTCCATTTTGAAAAATTGTAAAGTTCTAGAAATGTGTCCAATTTATTAGGATTTATTTTAAAATACTCTACTCCCCGCTCCAAAAATCAGTAGGGAAAGGGTAAGACAGATAAAACTATTTGCAAAAATGTTGGTAATTGTTGATGCTAGGTGATGATTATAAGGGGATTTACTTTACTATTCTCTACAGTTTTCTGTATGTTTTAAATTTTCTGGTAAGAGCTTTAAAAAAGTAAATTGTATTGCCATGGAATAGTAACACTTAGAAAACTCCAATTTAAACAAGATACCATTTATGATAAGCTCACCATACACTAGAGGAATATATATTATTCTATATTTGCTTATTTACCAATCACATAATATATATTGATCATATATGTGCCTGTATATTTTTAATATGCATCACATAAAATTTATGTGAAAGCAAAGCTTTAAGAATACTCAAGATATTCTTAAAAAAAGAACAAAGTGTAAAAAAAAAAGAAATTGTATTAGCAGATATCAAGACTTATTATAAAGTAGGACAATAAAAAACATGTATACATACAAAGACAGGCAAATGATCCAGTGGAACAGAAGAGAAAGCACAGCAGATCAGTAGGAAAAGGATGGACTGTTTAATAAATTGCATTGGACACAGAGAATAGAGAGGGAGGATCAGATAGGGACATCTAGGATAACCTACATATTATATTTCTTGACTGAAAAACTAGATCCATAGGTTTTATTCTTTTTCTTTTTTTGAACATTTTTATGATGAGAATATCAAAAAACTCTCAAACACAGAAAAAACATGAATACAGTAAACACATATAAAACTATTACTTAGATTTAACAACTATTAACATTGTAGTGTATATGCTTCATTACAAGTGAAACATTTTAGATATCAAGATATTTAGCTGCCCCACAGAATAACAAATTATAGATATCAAGATATTTAGCTGTTCCACAGAGGATTTCAGTATGCATTTTTAAAATAAGGCAATTTCCCCACTTCATCATAGAAACATTTTCATAGCTAACAAAATTAATGATAATTCCTTAACTTTTTATCTTGGAATTTTCAAACCTGCAAAAGTTGAAAAAACAGTACAACAAACACCTACATATCCTTACCTAGATTCATCAATTAATATCCTGCTACATTTGATTTCTTCCCCAACTTCTGTGTATGTATGTATGCAAGAGTGTATGTGTACATACACACACACATACAAACACACACTTTGCCCTCCTTTTGGCTAAAGCATTTGAAAGTAAGATGCTGTGGACATCAGCATGCATTTCCTAAGAATCTTACAGTTTACATCTTTCTACATGTATATTAATACATGTATTATGTTTACTGATACACAAAACATATAACATGCTAATATAGATTATATATTACTTATATATAATGTATATTAATATTGATATACATTGATGATGCATTAATACATATATATTCTATAATATATAAATAAAACAAAACAGTGGTAAAAAAATTAAAGAATTTAGAGAATTATTTTATGCCCTTGAAGAAAGCCATATGTAGTTGACATTCAACTACATAAAATGAAACAAAAAATTTCTGCAAAGGAGACACTACCATAAGCAAAGTCAAAAGATAACTAATTATTGAATGTGCAAATGTGTACAGAACATATAATCAGAGTTTACAAAAAACAAAATACAAATAATTTTCAGAATATCAAAAGAGCGGCCAGGCACAGTGATTCATGTCTATAATCCCAGCACTTTGGGAGGCTAAGGTAGAAGGATTGCTTGAGGCCAGGAGTTCATCACTAGCCTGGGCAACACAGTGAGACCTCATCTCTACCAAATAATAAACAGCCAGGCTTGGTGGCATGTGCCTATTGTCCTAACTCTTCAGAGGCTGAGGTGGGAGGATCACTTGAGCCGGGGAGGGTGAGGCTGTAATGAGCTATTACTGTGCTACTGCGCTCCAGCCTGGGTGACAGAGTGAGACCCAGTCTCAAAAAAAGAGAAAAGATCTGCAATATCATTTTTCATAAGAAGAATACGAAATAATGCTATACTATATCTCAGATTGACAAATAAAAACGTTTAGTAATATACAGTGTTGGCACAGTTTCAATATGGTAATACATATTCTCACAGATTTGTCGTGGAAGTGTGAATTGACAGAAATACCATGGAGGGTAATTTGGCAATTCATAAAAATCACACATGCATATATTCTTTTATGCTATGTGTAGTTGGCGGAACAATTCCACTTTTGGAATCTCTCCTACAGTTATACTTGAACATATAGAAAGTTATAAAGTACAAGGTTATTCACTACTTCACTTGTAAAGTTTGTAAAAATAAAAGACTACAAATGACATGTTTGTAAACTTTTGGACTGGTTCAATAAATTACATTATATCCACACACTCTGGCATAAAAAGAATGAAGATCTTTAATTACTTGTACAGAAAGACGTGCAAGTTATATTAACTGAAAAAAAAATCCAAACAGCAAAACAATTTCTCCTATTGGGGTTAAAAGAAAAAGTGAACAGGAACATGCAAGTTTTTTGCTTTTATATGCACGTTATATGAATGTAAAACAGAAAGCTGGATGGCAAGAGCAACAAAATAGAAGGGAGATTATTTCATAACCTTTTGTAGTTTAAAAATAATAAATATTAAAATATTAAAATTTTAAATAAAAATGATATTCAAATGATTTTCTTTGAAACAGAAAGTTAAAAGATCATTAAATTACACATATCAAAAGAAATAAGAAACATACCTTTGTGGCTTCCATTATAATTTTGTTAATTTTCTCTTTATCTAATCCTTCCATTCCTGCTTTATTATCATTAAGTCCCATCCTAAGCAGAAGATCATCTTTGTAACTGTCATTCTTCTCCTTTGTGTCATCCATGGTATAAACTTACCTGAAAAAACATGAAGATAAATACTGCTTTTAAAACCATCTGTGGCCGGATGCAGTGGCTCACACTTGTAATCCAAGCACTTTCAGAATCCAAGGCAGGTGGATTGCCTGAGCTCAGGAGTTGGAGACCAGCCTAGGCAACACGGTGAAACCCTGTCTCCACTAAAATACAAAAAATTAGCTGGGCATGTCTATAATCCCAGCACTTTGGGAGGCTAAGGTAGAAGGATTGCTTGAGGCCAGGAGTTCATCACTAGCCTGGGCATGTGCCTGTAGTCCCAGGCTGAGGCAGGAGAGTTACTTGAACCTGAGAGGTAGAGGTTGCAATGAGCCGAGATGGCACAACTGCCCTCCAGCCTGGGTAACAGAGCGAGAATCGCCTCAAAACAAAGCAAAACAAAACAAGAAAACCCATCTGTTGGAGGGAGGGGCGGGGACACCATGTACCTCCATTATGCATCAACAAAAAATGTTTTTAAAACATTAAATGATATAGAAATCAGCAAAACAAAAATTTAAATGACAGCTAAGAATTTTTAGCTACTAAAAATTATACTCAGATTTTTAAAATTACAGTTGACTCTTAGACAACACAGGTTTGAACAGAGAGGATCCACTTACATTTGAATTTCTTCCGCCTGTCACCCTTAAGACAGCAAGATCAACCCCACTGCTTTCTCCTCCTTAGATTATTCAGTGTGAAGACAATGAAGATGAAGATCTTTATGATCCACTTCCACTTAGTGAATAGTAAATATATTTTGTCTCCTTTATGATTTTCTTAATAATATTTTCCTTTCTCTGGCTTTCTTGTAAAAATAGAGTACAGAATACATATAACATACAATATGTATTAATCAACTATATATCTTATTAGTAAGGCTTCTGGTTAACAATAGGTTATAAGTAGTTTTGTTCTTGAGTCAAAAGTTGTATGTGAATTTTTGATTGTGCTTGGGCAGGGTCCCTAGCACCTATGGTATTCAAGGGTCATCTGTACTATCAAAAGATTATGATATTCTTGGAAGGAAGAAAGGAATTAGCATTTTCTGTATGCTCTGTTCTAGCTACTATGCTTAGGGACACTACATGTGAGGGCCATAATAGCCTTGAAAGATAGATATTATTCTCCATTCAAAAAGACAACAAACCTGAGACTTAGAACATGTCTGTTGACACAAATTTGCTCATAAGTGGCAACACATGTGTTGGAACCCAGGTATCAGTCAAAAACTTAAGTTTCCACCCAGATTAAAACATGGTTTAGAAATACAGAATAATACTTCCTCTACTACACATGTCAAGCTCAAGTGCATTTATTATCTACTGTAGGCAGATCTCCATTTTTAAGGCAATGAAAAAAATACAGAAAAATATTACCTAGAAAGTAAGTCACCTCTAAGGTTAAAAAAATCCTTTCAAATAATAATTCTTTAATATCTTTACATACTTCTTTATAGTTTACCTTCAGATACATTAGCTTTTAAAGATATTTTACAACCATGCAAAACAGATCTGGTTATTCTCATAATAGGGAGAAAAAAATGAGAACTTCAGCAAGATTAAATGGATTGCCCATCATAACTGTTAGTAAGTAGAAGAAGTGGGATTTGAATGCAAGCCTTCTTATTTCAACTCTGATGCAGACTCCATGACATCATGGTTGCCTCCAATTTGGGGTTCATGTATGCTACAAATAAGTGGTCAGGTGAACAGTTGTCATGAATCTACAACAAATTATGATTGTGACTTATTTATACGATTTAGAGAGAGCTCATTTGCTCCACTTTGGCTTGAGGATCTTCCCTTAACAATGCTGGTTCTGTTTTTGGCACCAGCAAAGAATAAAAAGAATTTTGGGACTGTGAATACTGTGGCTATTACTGGTAGTTCCACTAGGAAAAAAAGTGTACATCTTGGTAGTTCTCAAACTTTGCTGCACATTAGGCCCACCTGGAGAGCTGTGAAGCCAAAGCTCATCTGATAACAAATAAATCAAAAGGTATGGGAGCAGGAGCTACACAATATTTTAAAGAGATGCCTAGGTAATTCCAATGTGTCCCAAAGTACAGGAACCACTAGTATAGATGTTGTTTCTCAGTGCCCAGGGGAATATAGGCTAGTTTTTTGTTTTTATCATTTGATTTTTGTTTGTCTTCAACTATCATATTGAGTCCAGCCTCCCAAGTAGCTGGGACTACAGGTGCACACCACCATGCCTGGCTAATTTTTGTATTTTTAGTAGAGACGGGGTTTCATCGTGTTAGCCAGGCTGGTCTCTAACTCCTCAAGTGATCCATCTGCCTCAGCCTCCCAAAGAGCTGGGATTACAGGTGTGAGCCACTGCACCTGGCTGTTGATGTTTTTTAGAGACAGAAATGGGATGCCCAGGCTGGACTTGAATTTCTGGGCTCAAGTGATCTTCCCACCTCAGCCTCCCAAATAGCTGGGAGGCTGCACCTGTTGATGTTTTTTAGGGAAAGAAGTGGGATGCCCAGGCTGGACTTGAATTTCTAGGCTCAAGTGATCCTCCCACCTCAGCCTCCCAAATAGCTGGGATTGAAGGCGCATGCCACGACTCCTGGCTGTCTTGCCCTTTAAATAATGAAATGTATAAAAGGTAAAGAAATATTATTAATGCCTTCTCCTTATATATGATACATTAATGCCTTAGCCAAAAAAAAACTGAAAAAAGGCTAGGTGCATCATCTCATGGCTGTAATCCTAGCACTTTGTGAGGCCAAGGCAGGAGGATTGGTTAAGCCTAGGAATTCAACACCAGCTCTGGTAACACAGTGAGATTCCGTCTCTAAATGAAATCAAAAATAAAAATCAAAGTAAAATTAGCCAGGTGTGGTGATGTGCACCTGTAGTCCAAGATACTTCGAAGGATGAGTTGGGAGTTTCACTTGAACTTAGGAGGTCAAGGCCATCATGCCACTGAACTCCAGCCTGAGCAATAGAGCAAGAACCTGTCTCAATGAAACCAAACCTAACCAAAAAAACTCTTAAGAGTTGGTTTTGGTGCTTGAGTCAGAAGAACTAGGCTACAGGCAATCGTGGGACAAGGCAAAATTGTGATTGGTAGTTTTTGACTACCCTCCTGCTTTCTGATACCTAATTACCATGAAACTTTTGTCCAATTTCATAGGCATATGTTTAATATCATCTACATGTCAGTGACTTACAGGTTTACAGCACCAATCCAAATACCTGTCTGACATTTCAAGTTTAACATGTTTAAAAGTAATTTTTTAATCTGCCTCCATCCCCTCCAACCAGCTCCACTTCTGGCCTTCCTGGTCTCCACTGAGGGCAACTCCAATCCATTCCAGTTGCTCCTGCAAATAACCCAGGAGTCGTTTTTGACCCCTCTCTTTCTCATATACCCACCTCCAAACTATCAGGAAATCCTGTGGGCTCTGCTTTCAAAATCACCCTGAATTTAACCACTTCTCATTCTCTTCACTGCATTCACTCTCATCTGAACCACCATTATCTCTTGCTGGATTATTGCAGTAGTCTCTTAAATAAGTCTTTCTCCTTCCGCCCTTTTTTTCCTATAGCCAATTATCAACACAGTAGCACAATGGATTATTTCAAATCACAGGTAAGATCATGTCATTTTTCTGCTGAAAACTGTACAGTGCCATTCATCTCACTTGAGAATAAAACCACAAGTCCTTAAAATGACCTTCAAGGCCCTGTGGAATCTGGATCCCTGCTACCTGTCTACTCTCCTGTCTGTCTAATATTCTGCCTTGCACATTACTCTATGTCCACACTGGTCTCTGTGCTGTTGCTCAACTCTCTGAGGTACACTGTAATCTTGAGGTCTTTTTGCACTATGTTCTTCTCCTGGAGGGTTCTTATGCCAGACGTCCTCTTGACTAAACTCCCACGTTTCCAAGCCTTTGCTTAAATGTCAATGAGGGCCTACCCTGACCTCCCTCTTTAAAATTATAGCCTAATTACCCCTCTCACCTGCTCTTCCCAATGCCCTATTTTTTTTCACAGCTCTTATTTCTAAGATATGTTATGTTTACTGTCTATCTCCCCTGTGAAAATGTAAGCTCCATGAAGACAGGGAACTCATTTTCTTTTTTTCTTTTCAATGATATATCCAAAACACCTCAAATAATGCTTGGCATAGGGTAGGTGCTCAACAGATATTTGTTGAATGACTGAACAATCTCAGTTTATATCATTGTTCTCATTCTCTAATTCACAAAGCAAGATCACATAATCACAGTAAAAATCAGGAGAAAAACTGGTTTTTGAAGCTAATAATTTAAAAATACTTGTAGTGTTTCCTTGTTTCAACATTAAACATGTACTGATAAGTATATGTGCTAAATAACCTCCCAGTTTACAAACCTTATTTTCCTCAGATATTTGATGTGCAAATTGATTTATCAAAGACTTTAGGGACTTGTATTAGAATATTTAAGAGTCTACTTTACATTTATTCTTATGGAGATTATGTTGTATAATTTACTTGATTAAATCCTTTTCTTTCTTTCTTTTTTTTTTTTTTGAGACAGAGTCTCGCTCTATCGCCAAGCTGGAGTATAGTGGCACAATACCGGCTCACTGCAACTTCCGTTTTCCAGTTTCAAGCAATTCTCCTGCCTCAGCCTCCCGAGTAGATGAGACCACAAGCACGCACCGCCATGCCCGGCTAATTTTTTGTACTTTTAGTACAGACGGGGTTTCACCATGTTGGCCAGGATGGTCTTGATCTCTTGACCTCGTGATCTGCCCGCCTTGGTCTCCCAAAGTGCTGGGATTACAGGCGTGAGCCACCGCGCCCGGTAATCCTTTTCAATTATTTGTAAACCAAAGAAAAAACATTGGACAACAAAGGTAATAAACAACATACTAAGGTTTAATATATTGGGATCATTATGAGTTTCTTTTAGCACTATCATTTATGTCACTGTACTGAGCCTGCTTTCGTTTTTCATTGGTTAGTATTTATTTTTTCAGATTTCCAAAATC